TATAAAACAAAAACAGTTACATTATAAAGTGATGTAAAATACTTTTGTTTTTCTCCCTTGTCCTGTCCGGCATTGTGACACTTAGAATTATTGTCTGAGTGTCAAAGTGATGCCCAACAGATTTACTTTCACAAGCAGAGCATTAAGGTTGACCTTAATGCTCCAATTGATATACAAATTAAATTTTATTAGAATTTGCTTTGGGCTTGTTTCAGATGTAATGGACATGGGGATGAAAAACAAAGAAGATAACAAAGCAGAAAAGTGAGAGAAGGGTTAAAAGGTAAAGAAGGAGATAGGAATAGAGGAGAGAGAGAGGGGGATAAAGAGAACACAAATCAACATCATTGAAGTCTGCCTGTAGACCTGCGGAAAGAAAACAAAAAAACTAAGCCAAAACTGAGAAACCACAATAACAAACAACATATATAATGATACTTATAACATCATTATAAATTATTTTATACAGTACATGGTAATATAAGATATATTTAGTGGTCTCCACAACCCAACTGAGTGTGTATCTGATAAACACCTGAATCCAAACACCTGTGTGAGCATGCTTGTCACTATAAGTTTTCTCCATAAGAATGTTCAATTGTGGATGTGGGGACCCACAGACCCGCCCCCACAGGACACGATGGTAACACAGGGAAGACCGGAACCACAGACACACAGCGGTCCCCAAGCCCGGAACTCCGGGAGTCCCCCAGCAGGGACACCCGCACCCCCCAGAGAGAGAAGCAAAGGGAAGTCCCGGGCGATCCCCAGCAACCACCATGCAGAAACCCCAGGAGGCTGTAGCGACGAGTCCACAGGCCCCGCCGGCAACCCGCCCCTCCAGAGTGGATCCGGCCATGGACACTGAGTCCCGAGGTCATACCACCCTAGAACAGAGGCCCGACAGAGCCAGGGTACCCAGGCCCTGGCAGGCAGCCACCAGGGTAGGCCCGCACACACCCCGCCACCCAGCCCCAGCAGCTGAGAGCCGCCAATGCACTGGTGGCAGGGGGGCCCACCACCGGAGGGGAGCACGACACACCAAATGGGGGGCCAAAACTGATCCAGAGAGGGGATCACCTAAAACCCAACCTGAGACATAAACAAGCACACAGAGACAGCCCGACAGAGCCTCTGTCTGGCTGTCTATGCGCCCCACCCACCCGACAGTGACCGCAAGCTAGCCCCAGGCCGGGGGTGAGAGCAGCAGGGAGCAGCAGCTGAGGAAGGCTGGCCCAGCGCACCATTGCATCCCTACAGCCCCACACCACAGGCCCGGAGAGGCCCCGGCACGCCACCCATGCATTCCTACACACACACAGCACCCCCCACCACGAATGTCACATCAGGCTGACTAGCCAGCACCCCGTCAAAGTGAAGCCACGCCCCCGACCGCTGCCATGCACCACCAACGACCACACACACACAACCACAGCCGACCCCCAGCCAAAGGGCCAGCCATCACAACCAGGAACCCTGATCAAAAGATCCAAACAACCCAGGGAGAACCGGAGCACCGGCCCCACCCCCAATCGGAGGGGGAGGGGGTGAATGGAGACTCGTCCCAAGCTATGCAACGCGCTGTTTAAACCAACCGTTTTAGAGTGGGGGTGGGGGACACAGAGGCAGCCGCACGCTGTTTGCACTGACAGTTTTACAGTTTTAGAGCAGGGTGTGTGAGAGGAGAGAGACAGACACACATCTCAGCCGCGCGCTGTCTGAACCGACAGTTTTGGGTTTTTTTGGCGAGGGGAGAGACAGGCGCATATCTGAGCCGTGCGCTGTTTGTCCCGACAGTTTTCGAGTGGCAGGGGTTCGTTCAGTGTGAGGGTTCAGCATGAAGGAAGAGGCTGCCTTTAGCTTTTTAGCTAGTCACCTGCATTGCGAGCCGCTAGTTTAGCGTTACGTCAGTGCAGACAGGTGGTTGGGGGTGGGGTTTGGTAGACGGGGCGCTCGGTTCTGTTGATGGGGCGGGGCGCCCCGCTTGCATAATGGTAGGGGAAACACTGGAGGAGATTATTACAGCCTCATATAAAATCAATAATGATGGTGATATCGGAACTGGATCTGTATCGCCCGATATTTAGGTTTAGGTATCGGGATCAGGGGGTGGGGGGGTGGTGGATTGGTGCATCCCTAATCTGCTTTGACCGATGGGTTTGAGAGGAACAGGAAGGAGGAACAGATTAAGAATGTGCGATATGGCGTAAATTTCATATCACAATATGTATTGGGAAGGGTGGTGGTAACGATATACACAGTATCACAATATGTTTTTTGTATAAAATTTGCAGTAGGATTGAAAAAAGCATAGGGTGTCCTTTTGCCATCATTTATTTTGAAAACTGCTATTCCACAATATAATCTCAATTGAGAAAATTCCACTACTAGGTCCAGAGAGTTTTAAAATAATTAACAAATCAAGTGTTAGGCTTCTTTCTTGTAGTGCAAAACAGTGCAAAAGATATCAAATGTAGTTTTAGCCATATGTTTTAAACTAAAGAATATGATGTTAACTTAACAGTTTCAAGTCTTCTCACTTAAGAAATGAACAGCAACAGAGCAGCATTTTACATATAGAAACGTGCACACTGAAACACTTCACCCTCCAGTGGGCGTTTCCTTCCGCTTTAAGGAGCGCTGACACAAATTGGCGACCAGTTTCCATCACACAACACAGCGTTCTTTTCACAGATCAGAGAGCAGGTTTCTCTAAAGCTGACCAATGCTTACTTTAACTTTCGATGGAAAAAAAATCTACTTTGGACGGAACACAGTGTTTTGCGCATGCGTCCCAATATGGCACCACTACGGCACCACTACGGCAAGCCGGCTGTAGTTAGCTTGTAGCTTCGCTACTTAGCTCTCGAAGAAAAGACTTTAACACCACTTGCGCACAGTTTTCAACTAAAAAAAGTAACAATTAAACTGACAACTCTGATTTTACATCAGATACATTACCGCGGTTAGCCGGTAGAATACAGATCTCCATCATAGGCTAAATGTCTATTGTTTCTACCATGTACCGTATGTATCGCACGTTCCTAGAACAGATACACAATGGCAAGCCAAGAATCACGTTAAGATAGAAATAGTATCAAATGAAATTTATTCAATTTTAGCAATTAATTTAAGGAAATGAGGTCAGTTTGTCCTCCAGTAGTCTAAGCTCAAGACAGCATAACAAGCCAACCCTAACTATAGGATTTATCAAAAAGGAAAGTCTTCAGCCCAGTCTTAAAACTGGACAATGTGTCAGCCTCACGGACAGAAACTGGAAGTTGGTTCCACAAGAGAAGAGCCTGATAACTTAAAGATCTTCCTCCCATTCTGCTTTTGGAAACTTTAGGAACCACAAGTAAACGTGCAGTCTGAGAATGAAGTGTTCTGTTAGGAAAATATGGGATAATAAGATTTGTAATATAATGGAGCAAGGTTGTTGAGGGCTTTGTAGGTTAGAAGTAAAATGTATGGTATGTGAATTGTTGAAATGGCACAAAAATTGAGGAACAACGTGATGTCCAAAAACGTACAAAAGAAAATAGTGAGAATGTTCAATACGCATCCACACAATTAAATAATTATTTCTGTAAGTGCACGTCTCAAAGACACTTATAGGTACTTGATTTTGAATTAACGCAATCTGTCAAATCTATCCAAATAATTCAGTTTTTTAATCGGTGCCTAAAGATCCACATTATGCCCTGAGGTTAGCGAGTCACTTGCCTGCTAACTCATTTAATTAGTCTTTATAATTCTTAAACTACAGTCAAGCAGTTTGTTCATGTCGTATTTATGACATTGGCAGATTTTAAATGAGCATGGAGGCTGGCGCAGAGGCACAACAAAGTGGTGAATCAGCTATCTCAGACTCCGAGGCCCAGCACATCACCCTGGCTCAGGTAACTCCTGCCACTGGGATTGATTTAGGCATCACAACAGTTTCACTGCTTCCACCTGTAGCCTGTTGGCAGCTTTGCACTCAAGCGTTTCGCTCGTTGTTACAGGTGCCCATAGCAGCGAGCCAGGTGTCCTCCAGCAGTCCCACAGTCACTGTAGTGCAGCTCCCCAACGGTCAAACGGTCCAAGTGCACGGGGTGATTCAAGCTGCTCAGCCATCAGTCATTCAATCCCCGCACATCCAGACGGTGCAGGTAAGGTGGAATTAACGCAACATAATTCACTTTTTTGACTTTATGAAACAAAAATAAAGTTACTGAAGACGAGATACTGAGACAGCTCTTAAAGGGATCTCTGACTTTATTTAATAAACGATTAAAAACAAGACTGAAAAGTACTGTAGGCCATTTTATTCGAGCTGCAATGCATTCTGGGTAAATGGCATAAGACAGGTTGCTATGACGCAAGCTCCATTCAGCTTGAATGTTAATTTTGGATATTATCAGATGTTCATCATATTAATTTGAACCAGAGAGCGATGACAGAGAGAATAATGAAGAAATGACTCAGCTTTAGCTTTAGCTCCAGAGCTAATAGGGTTAGCTCTATGCTGGTGAAGATTTGTATTGAACGCTTTTTGAAGGGTTAGCTCTAGTGCTAATAGCATTAGCTGCAGAGCTAATAGCATTAGCCTCAGAGCTAATAGCGTTAGGTTGCAGAGCTAATAGTGTTTTTTTCCAGAGCTAATAGCGTCAGCTCCAGAGCTAATAGCATTAGCCTCATAGCTAATAGTGTTAGCCTCAGAGCTAATAGCGTTAGCTGCAGAACTAATATTATTAGCTCCAGAGCTAATAGCATCAGTTCCAGAGCTAATAGCATTAGCCTCAAAACTAATAGTGTTAGCTGCAGCGCTAAAAGCATTAGCTGCAGAGCTAATAGTGTTAGCTGTAGAGCTCAGTGTTTCCCCTACCATTATACAAGTGGGGTGCCCCGCCCCGTCAACAGAACCGAGCGCCCCGTCTACCGAACTCCACCCCCACCCCAAACCACCTGTTGGCACTGACGTAACGTTAAACTAGCAGCTCGCAATGCAATTGTGCTAGCTAAAAAGCTAAAGGCAGCCTCTTCCCTCATGCTGAACCCTCACGCTGAATGCATCCCCCACCACTCGAAAACTGTCGGTGCAAACAGCGCACGGCTCAGATGTGTGTCTGTCTCCCCCCCCCCCCCCCCCCCCCCCCCCCCAACAAAAATCACAGACTAGATGAGCACCTCGCCATGGCAAGTTATCTAGGGGAAACACTGGAGCTCATAGTGTTAGCTACAGAGCTAATAAACATCACTAGTTGGTCACGTTTATCATTTCAACCCAGACACTGTGCAGTGTTTCCTCTACCGTTCTACAAGGAGGGCGCCCCGCCCTGCCTACCGAAATGTCCTTAATCCACAACTTTTTTAAAGAGCTTTATTAACAATACCAAAACAGAACAATACAACAAAATACCATTACAAACTCTCGTGAAGGGTGTCATAACTACATTTTACAAAATAGGTTTTTTTTTACAAAATAATGGAAGAAAAGAAAAAAAGAAAAAAAACATTTTTAAAAACTTCAAAGGAGCAAGACTATATGAGAAACTTAAAACAATAAGTTTTTAATCTGTTGTGAGATGATTCTAGCAGTTTTCCATTTTTTTAATCTACATGAAGAATAGTACGACTTAAAATCATTCATAAAACAGGGGAGGAGGGCTTATTATCCCTCCACTTGCTACAGTGAATGTGGTACAACTCTGTTTATGGCATCAGAGAAAGCTGAGCTGAAGTTATCCACATAAAATAAATTGGTATCAGCATCAAAAGAATGAATGTTAAGTTTGAGATTAATACGGTTTCTTCCTTCACCCACAACTGCACCTCGCTTGTTGACAAAGTGCCGCCACTGATGTAGCGGCACACAATATAGACGCGTAAACTAAAAAGCTATGGACATAACGCTTTGCTTCTCTCGTGCGATCATCAGGGAAACACTGCTGTGCATGAGAACTCCTACAAAATATAACTTTATTTAGGCCTATCACAATAACAAATTTTGCTGGGCGATTAATTGTCTCAGAAATTATTGAGATAAACGATAATATTGTTTGAAATTTGACAACGATTAGTAATTATTGTCAAATTTAAGAAGAAATGTTTTCCATCTTATCTTAGTTGGTTTTGCACATAGTACCTTTTTTCGACCACTGGATGGCAGTATAAGACTGTTTTGACCCGAAGGATGGATAGTGAGGGAGCAAGCGGCACGTCTCTTTAAGAAAAATAGGAGGGAGACGCTTTGGAGCTTCGACAAGACGGAGTTTTTTTCCTGAGGTTGACCTGTGAGCTTAGCCCGTAGCTTAGCTTCTCAGCTTAGCTGCTTTTAACGATCCACAAATATGATTTTGGACGATTAAAACAGATTTTAAAGAGAAAGGGAGGGGTGAGTGAAGAGCACCGGAGTTGAGCCGTGACTTTAGTAGAAAGAGAGAGACATGAAAAAAAAATGATAAAGCCGATAAATGAAAATGAGGTTGATAATCTTCATTTACCATGCAATTAATTGATTTATTGTTTATTGTGAAAGGCCTAACTTTATTGTCACTTTTTATAACTCCTTATTAGGGGTGCACCGATTGCAGTTTTTTGGCCGATCACCGATTTCTAAAAAGTCTGACCTGCCGATACCAATTTTGTTTTATAAGCGACACTGTCAGGTGTTATAAGGTCGCAATGCACCTTCAATTTTCCAATATTATTTTATTGAAAAACATACCCTTGAACAATATCCTAGAAACAATACAAACTTGTTTTAACTGGCCATGAGGTAGTGCTCTGAAATATAAATGAAGTTCAGACAATTGTTGTTAAAATTAAAAATAATTGGTCAAATCGGTTTCTTATGCAAGTATGCAAGTTTCTGAAAATTAAGGAAATAGGGGCCGGCCGATTTATCGGTGCACCTCTACTCCTTATTGGGGACTGCCATGCATTTGCATGGCAGGCATCTATTATTGTACACCTCAGAAGTGTGTCTACATTTCTGTCTCCGTTAATGTGGCCTGAACCACAATGTCTTCCCCCACAAAAGTTATATCAAAACAACCTGCTCAGCCCCGTGATGTGTGCTTTTACTTTTATTGGCATTTCGAGTTACCATCACGACATAATTTGCAAACAAAGATGCAATATTTCACCAACTCCAGGAACTAGTTGGTGACTGCCCACTTATTATTCTACACCAGATAAGCATATCTTTTTCAACTTTAATGCGGCCCGAACCACAACGTGGACCCCACCCCCACAAAAGTTATATCAAAATGACTAGCCCGGCTTCGGGAAGTTTGCTATTACTTTTATTGACATTCGCAATTACCATGGCGACATATTTTGCTAACAAAGATGCCAAATTTCCATTGGAAATGAATAGGAGAAAACTCTTCACAGAAACTGAGTAACGTATGGAGCCATTTTGGTTCAACATGCAAGGAAGGCAGTGCATTATGCAATGCATGTAAGGCACCTATTATTACCTATTATCACCTATTATAAATTAGTAATAATAATAATTAATATTAATTATTAATGTTATTGATTAATATGAATAATTATTCCATCCATCCATTATCTTTACCCGTTTATTCCATTTTGGGTCACGGGGGTCGCTGGTGCCCATGTCCAGCAATCACTGTGCGAGGGGCGGGGTACACCCTGGACGGGCCGCAAGTCCATCACAGGGCCACATAGAGACAAACGAGACAAACAATCATTCACTCTCTCACTCACACCTAGGGACAATTTAGAGTTACCAATCAGCCTAACATGCATGTTTTTGGGCTGTGGGAGGAAACCGGAGTACCCAGAGAAAACCCACGCATGCACGGAGAGAACATGCAAACTCCACCCAGAAGGCCCCTGGACCGGGGTTTGAACCAGGGACCTGTTCGCTGAGAGGCAGCAGCTCTACCAGTTGCGCCACCGTGCTGCATGAATAATTATTGATATGAATAATTATTAATTGCTAGTATAAGTATACTAATATTAATGATTAATTATTAACAATGTTTAATAACATATCAATTAATAAATGTATTATATATTGATAATCATCAATATTAATATTTGATAATTAGTATTAATTATTAATATTAATATTTATTAATAATAATAATCTAAAAATAAATTGGCAGTCCCCGTCAAAGTTTCTCCAGGAACTTTCTAGTGTTTTAGTCTCCACTACAACTGATGTACGTCATCGCCCCAGAATGCACTGCACCAGTAAAATAATGGTGACGTCCTTAGATGGAAAAAGTTAAAAAGTATAATTTTTTAAAGTAATTAGTTTTCACGTCACAAACAATTTTTAGCTGAGTAGTGAAATAAGTAGTCGGACATCCCTTTAAAGGTTTTCAGTTCTTGTTAAATGTGTTTCTGACGGAGTCCTTTAATTTTCAGATTGCAACCATAGAGAACGAAGACTCTCAGGAATCTGTTGACAGCGTCACAGATTGCCAAAAAAGAAGAGAGATTTTGTCCAGAAGACCTTCTTATAGGTTTGCTTTTTTACACATGAGCCAAAAGATCTCGTAGATTGGATTATATTATTATTATTATTGATCACTGATGTTGAATGTTTTGTTAACATCTGGCTGTGGTCGTTACCTTTGACAGGAAGATTCTAAACGACTTGTCGTCAGACTCTCCTGCCGTACCCCGGATTGAAGAAGAGAAGTCAGAAGACGACTCTGCCTCAGCCATAACCACCGTCACTATGCCCACTCCCATCTATCAGACCAGCAGCGGCCAGTACAGTGCGTACCTTCACATACAGGAAGCTGGTGTTATTTACTGCAGGACATTTTAAAACTTAAGTTTTCTCTCTTCAGTTGCCATTACCCAGGGTGGGGCCATTCAGCTGGCCAACAATGGCACCGACGGAGTGCAGGGCCTGCAGACGCTGACAATGGCCAACGCTACTGCAGCCCAACCCAGCGCCACCATCCTGCAATACGCTCAGACCAGCGACGGGCAGCAGATCCTAGTCCCTAGCAACCAAGTAGTCGTACAAGGTGAGGTCGGATGACTCGAAGCGTCCAAATATTTGCTCGAAGTCCAGAAGAGGTGTTAAACGTTTGTAATGCATCCCGTTTTTCTGTCAGCTGCTTCTGGTGACGTCCAGACCTATCAAATCCGCACAGCTCCAACCAGCGCCATTACTTCCGGGGTCGTCATGGCAACTTCACCTGGACTGGGGACAACCGGAGGAACGGAGGAAGTGACACGTAAAAGGGAGGTCCGATTGATGAAAAACAGGTACGCTTTTTGTTAGGGGTGTATCGGTATATTTGTACTGTAAAACAAAGCTGCCGGCAAGGGAGACGAGAGATGCAGGTATGGCATGCACTTGTACCATTTAAGCCAATGGTTTCCAACCCTGGTCCTTGAGAAACACCATCCTGCTCCATCAGTTCCAGCCTGAGCTGTAAAGAGCAACCCACAGACTTCTATAAATATACAAATGGCTTGCCACAGTTCTTTTCAAAGCATTGCTTAAATCAATGGTTCCCAACTCTGGTCCTTGAGGAACACCGTCCTGCATGTTTTTGTTGTTTTCCTGCTCCAGCACACCTGATTCAGTGATTTAATTACTTCATCAAGTTCTGCAGAAGCCCGTTAATTACCCGTTCGTTCACATCGGTGTGTCAAAGCAGGAAAACAACTAGAACATGCAGGATGGTGTTCCTCAAGGACCAGTGTTGGGAACCACTGATGCTTTGAAAAGATCTGTGGCAAGCCATTTGTACATTTATTGACTTTAAAGCCTGTGGGTTACTCTTTACAGCTCAGACTGGATAAAAAGTTTGGCAAGTCCCAAATGTTAAACATTATCCTTCTCACTAGAGCTGGGCGAAATCTCGATATTTAAAAAATATCGTTATACCGTATTTTTCGCCGTACTTGTCGCACCGCCGTATAAGTCGCATCGGTCCAAATATGTCTAAAAATGTGGAAAAATACATAAAAATGTTGCTTCACCGTATATGTCGCATTTATTACGCGTCACCGTTGACAGCCCGGAAATGTGGGCCGGTGTTGTGCTAAAAATTGATGGGCTGCCAAAATGCGGCCACGGAAGCATGCACAGGAGGACTTTAACAAGAATTTAACAAGATTAACACTTAAAACAATTATTTGTTTGCTCAAAATTGTAGTAAAGGTGTGTCTCAGTTTAACTTTTACTTAATAAATGCACTTTGACAGTCAAATCAGCTGCATTTCAAAACCCGATTCACGTAAGCGTGCCCACACAGACGGACGAGCCGCTGTTCATTTCTTTGAAATTTAACAAGATAAACACCTAAAAACAATTATTTGTTTGCTCGACTTTATAGTAAAGGTGTGTCTCAGTCTAACCTTTGTTTAATAAAAAGACTTTTAACGGTCAAATCCGCTGTATTTCAAAAGTATTCGCTGCCTCAGTGTTCCGGGAGCACACAGACAGAGAGGAAAAAAGAAGGAGGAACGCTGCTCATTTCTTCGAAATCTTACAAGAAAATCACCTAAAAACAAATGCACTTTAATGGTCAAATTAGCTGCATTTCGCCGGGGCGGTGCAGTGAAATGAAACTGATTTGGTGGTTGCTCCAAGCATCAAGCAGAATGAAGGTGGGGAGACTGTGGCAAGCCAATCGTGTCATTAATAGCTGGTGAAGATTCTCAGTCATCCAGGACATGGTAAATTCAAAAAAGTTCAAGACAAAAACAATAAAGTATAATAAATAAAGTTCAGTTGTTTTTGTCTTGAACTTTTTTGTATTTGTCATTATAGCCACTTTTACCTATTACATGATACAACAAGATACCTTACTACTCTGCTGCCATCTAGTGGCTTAAAATGGTACTGCTCAAAATTTGTATTATTATTTTTTTCAGTCAGAATGAATGAAAACGGTCATATCTCAGTCAAAAATTGGTTTATAAATATGGGAAAGAATCCATAAATATGTTGCTTAGGCCTATAAGTCGCAGGGCATGTAAATTATGCAAAAAAAACAAAACATATACGCTGAAAAATACGGTAATTTTTTTTGCGATATAAGATGGAGACTATATCGATATAAACAATATTATACTTGAAAATCCGCCTGCTATTCTTTCTTCCATGTGGCCCCTTCCTTCTAAAGGCCTCCAGCTAAAGTTAGCTGTCATGTTAGTCGCTAAGGACCTTGTCTTTAGCGATATGATTAGCCACAGCTTTATTAATCTGGCGCTACCTCCTCTCACTAAGACTTGAATATGTGTGTGCAGTAGCTCTTTTGCTGCCCGTCCAACTTTACGCAGCCTCCTCCTCCTCCCTCGCTGAATACAAGCAGCCTCTCACTGCTGCTTCACACACGCTTACGAACATGAAGGCGGCACAGCTGAAAATGATTATTGTTTAATTTATGTAAATAAATATCTAAAAAAAACAAACTTTAATATATGTAAATAGTATATTTTTTGCACATTTATTTTGTAGAGTTACAGCTGTTAATAAATGTGCCTGTGTGACAACTGGGACAAAGCTTTGACTCAGAAATATAATTTTGTTAGTACTTTCTGGAAATAAAAAAAATCGAGATATATATCGTATATCAGGATTTATCTTAAAATATCGAGATATTAATTTTGGTCCATATCACCCACCCTATTTCTCACTAACAGGTTTTTTGTCTCTGCCTTTGGGAGAGTTTCTGTGTGTAAAACAAAATAAAAAGGAGTGATTGGTTTTTAAAAAAAATCTTGTACTGAACGGTGATCCTCATGTGGACCGATGCTTGTCCTGGGCGTACCGTTACAGACCTCCTGTCTGTGCTGTGAAGTCAGTAAATCCACATGTTTGACTGGTTTTCATTTGGATCCATTTTTTGTGTCCGACAGAGAGGCGGCCCGAGAGTGTCGTAGGAAGAAGAAGGAGTACGTCAAGTGTCTGGAGAACCGGGTTGCCGTGCTGGAGAACCAGAACAAAACCCTCATTGAGGAATTAAAAGCCCTTAAAGACTTGTATTGCCACAAGTCTGAGTAAAGACTCAGACCCCCTGAGGGGGCGGGGCTTGGCAGGCTCCACCTCAGTAAAGACTCAGCTCTGAGCATCTGTAAGCCACTCCTCCTTTTCTACTCTTCTGCTTTCTTTTTTTTTTTTTTTTGTAAAGTGCTGGTATTTTTGTGAAGCAACTCAAGAGTGTCGTGGGTTTCCCGTCAAAGTGTGGGCCGGCGTTCCGAACGAACGCACAGAAGACTTCGAACTGTTTCGTGGCGACCTGACAAAACAATTGATTCTTTTGTCGCCACACAGGGAAGCATTCCAGTCACTGGTGCCTGCCTGGTTAAACTGGGCAACATCACCAGCAACCGCCCAACACGGAGCTCGCTGGCTCAGATCATTTGGACTTTAGCGTGCGACATTTATATTTTTAACACCTGTTACTTCGTTACTCTTTGAATTGTGGACTGTGTTTTGGACATTTTACCTTTGACCCGTTTTTTTGTTTGTTTTCTTATAACCCTAAAAAAAGAATGCAATTATTTTCAAACCTCAAAAGCCCATGTTTTATTCTCAGTAGGACAAAGTTTTTTTTTCTTTTGGCTGCTCCCTTGAGAGTGAACTCGCACGAAGGATCGGGCAATTGTTTTACACCCGATCCCCTTCCTGGCACAACTTGGGCTCGATCCTGTGCAGCCTCAGAATTATAAGACCGACCGCTGAGCTACCCCAGCTCCTCCCATTAGAACATAAATTACTTTTTTTCCAAAATCAATTTCTTAATTTCAATGTTTGGCATGTTTACTACGTTTCATTGTGGATAAAATATGGGCTTTAGAGATTTTATCATCAATGCATTTAGTTGATTTACATTTTAAACATCCCACCTTGTTTTTATTGGTTGTATATAGCTGGTTTTTTTATCATGTCAGTTTTATTCTGGTTGAACATAAGAAAAAGGGTAACTATAACATGGTTTTGATGTTAAACGCAGCTTTTAAAATGCAGTGAGTTTGGAAAATGTTTAAAGGGATCTCCGACTAGTTGGAACAATAGATCTTATTTAATAAACAATAACTTCCGTAGCGATAAAAACAAGACTGCAGCGTTTCCCCGAGTTAACTTGCCTTGTCAGGGTGCGCTCATTTCTTCCATGATTTTTTTCAATGTGGGGGGTGGAGATAGACACATCTGTGTTGCGCGCTGTTTGTATCGACAGTTTTCGAGCAGTGGTGTTGGAAGATGGCTTAGCACAGGGGTGCCCAGACTTTTTCAGCATGCAAGCTACTTTTAAAATGACCAAGTCAAAGTGATCATCTACCTACTATAAGGCCCCATTTACATGAGAACAACCTCTGGAAACGTTGGTGTTTTATCAGTGTTTATTGGGGGGAAAAAAAATGAAAACTGAGAAGGTTTATATGAAAACGCTGTGGTTACCATGTCAGTCGGGTTGCCAGATAAGAAATCCTGACCTGTGGCATTAAAATGATAGTATTTTTACCTTAACTGTCATATGTGCTGAGTAAAGGTATTCTAAGATGAGGTGTGAGTTGTGTGTTCATGCTCAATAATCAAGGTAAAAATTAGGGGTGCACCGACGGTTACTTTTTTTGCTGAGACGTTTTGTCCTTCATCCAAAGGACTTCTTAAACTTTGGTGTTTTGAACCTCTTTGGCATGGCTGCCTTAGAGGAGTTGACGGGGGAGGGTGGACCCCAGATGCCAGTTTATCACCAACAAACAGATTTTTTTTTTCCACTATGGGAGTGTGCTGTTTGTGGGACTCAGCTTGTTTGGCGGCTGCTCAGATTGAAGAAGTCCTTTGGATGAAGGACGAAACGTCTTAGCAAAAAAACAAACCATCCAGATGACCTGACTGAACATCATAGTCAGGATGGATGATAGGCTGACATCTATTTTTTTTTAATGTCATGCGATCTACCCATAATACCTTTGAGATCGACCGGTAGATCGCGATCGACATATTGGGCACAACTGGGTTAGCGTGAGGGAAACAGGGCGTTAACTGTAGCTTTTTAGCTAGTGCGTCTGTATTGCGCACCGCTAGCTTAGCACTGTGTCAGTGCCAGCAGTTGTCGATAGAGGGGGGTTCGGTAGGCAGAGCTCTTGGTTCTGTTGAAAGGGCGAAGCGCCCTGGTTGTATAATGGTAGGGGAAACACGGGGGGTTGAAAGAAATGGCTCAGTGAGGGAAACAGAGCAGTATCTCTGTAGCTTTTTAGCTAATGTTTCTATTGCGCTCTGCAAGCTTAGCGATACGTCAGTGCCGTAAGTTGGGGGTTGGCAGTTCCAGTATTTCCCCTACATTACTTGCCTTGGCTCCTGTGATTTTTGTCGACAGGGTTGGGTGGACAACCTTTATTTATACACGTTAGCCTCATTGAGCCTCGAGGACTCATTTACAAGAGAGACCTGTTATAGACCTCTAGCCGCTAGCTTATCGCTACATTCATGCCAGCAGTTGTTGACCGGGGGGATGTTGGCAGGGCGCTCGGTTCTGTTGACAGGGCGGGGCGCCCTCCTTGGATAATGGTAGGGGGAACACTGTGCTGTAGGGTGATTAGTTTTATATATTTTTTGAATATATCGACACCGACGTCACCATTTTATTCACGTTGCAGTGTATTCTGGGTAAATGATGTAGTCTGGTTATCTCGGTACAAGCGCCATTCAGCTTGAATGAGAATTTTGTTCAGCCCTTTAATTTGACCCAATGACAGAGAGGAGGATGAAGAAATGACTCAAACCTTTGCGTTAGATCCAAGAGCTAATAAACATCACAAGTTGATCACGGTTGATTGTTTGGACTCATATTGTGCAAAATGACTAATACAAAATATTACTTTATTGTCACGTTATAACTTTTTAGTCTTTACTCCTTGTGTTTTAGGCTCCACTACAACCGATGTACATCATCAACACAGAATGCATAACACCGGTAAAATAATAGTCATTGTCTTTAGGTGACAAATGTAATAAACATATTTTAAGTAATTTGGTTTTCACAACACAAACAACAAATAGAGAAATAACATATTAAGGCCAAGATGTGGTCGGAGATCTCTTTAAATAAAATAGTTAATACTTTGATATTTTGTTTTTTAAACAAGCAGAAGAGACAACGATCATGATGTATCACGATATGACTTTTACCCACCTTTTAAAAAAAGACAAACGGTTATTCTTATTTTTTTATATTTATTTTATTATTTGTAAAAAGTACACCTAAACTTCTCTTCTTGTTTTTTTTATATACATAACTATGAGCCTTAAAACTTGTCAACAAAATGTCATCTCTATAATGTGTAAAAGGAAAAAAAAAAGGTAATGTTTTCATTTGGGGGTGGTCGGTTTCAGTTTTAATATCAGAGACTAAAGTATTTTCTGCTGAGTCTGTCTCCAAAATCATGTTTTTATGAAAAACGGCACGTGCAATGCTTTGCATTTACAATCCGAGAACATTTCAGATCTACTCGACAGAAAGATTTTACTAAATAATTAACTGTTTTATTGCTCACTAATCGTGAAGGATTGTAAAATGTGACCAAAAAAAAAACAAAGTCATGAACAAAGTGAATATTTTCACGAATACCATCTTTTTCTCTTCTGGTTATATGTAGTCATGTATGCTTTTTATTTTTATTCACAGTATATGTATGTCAACATGTTAAAACAGTGGATTATCTTTGAGCTATACATTATGATATTTTGGCAGCTGGTAATAAAAACGTTTCTGCTCATTTTAGATGGTTTTCAGTAAATTATTGTGATCTCTTTTTACTTTTGTACATTTTCAGCTTCTTTCTCGTGCCATATTTTTTGTGCTATTTCATCAAATCGTATATATCAAATCGTTCAGGAGAAGGGTGCTAGGACTTTTGGTATTGGTGCAACTTTAGCTTTTTGAAATATTTAGCCTTTTCTGCCACTTTTTTCTCATAGAAAATGAATTGAGCTCATTTTACATCCTTCACATCTTTAGATCTGTTTACAACCTTTTACTGCTTTCGCATTTTGTTCTGGTTCAGCTTCTTTGTGCAAATTTAAACTTTTTTCAGCTCATTTCAGCTGTTTTTTGCGCCTTTCAGATTATTTCGGATAACTAGATTTTTGTGCTTCTAACTTATTTCTGATTATTTCAGCTTGTTGTGCTCCTTTCAGCTTATTTCTGCAAGTTTCAGCTTTCAACTACTATTTAGTTATTTTTATACAAATTTTAGCCTTTTCAGCTAATCCCACAATTTTGGCACTTTTGAACTTTTATCAGCCTAATTCAGGAAAAATGTGTTCTCTCCACTTCCTTCTGGTAATTTAAGCTTCTTTCTACATTTTTAGCTACTTTTCAGCTGTATTTGTTTTTATTAGTTTGTTGCTAATTTCAGCTTTTTTCAGATAATTTCCACTTTTTGTGCCAATTTCAGCTTTCAGCCTAATTAGACAAATGTGTACTTTCTGCTTTCTTGTCCTAATTTAAGCTTGTTCTACCGTTTCAGCTACTTTTTAGAAAATGTTTAGCTAATTTCATCTGTTTTCAGATAAATTCAAGTTTTTCTTGGCAACTTCTGCTTTCAGCCTAATTAACTTTTTTATGCTAATTTCAGCTTGTTATAATCCTTTCAGCATTTTTCTGCTATTTCAGCTACTATTTAGTGGTTGTATGAAAATGTTAGCTTTTTTAGGTAATTCCACATTTTTAGCTCATTTCATCTCTTTCCACTTCCTTCCGGTAATTTAATTGTATACTTTTTTTAGCTAATTTTTAGCTGGGTTTTTTTCTTGCTAATTTCAGCTTTTTTCTGATTTCCATGTTTTTGTGCTAATTTCTGCTTCTTTCAGCCTAATTAGACAAACGTGTACTTTCTGCGTTCTTGTCCTAATTTAAGCTTGTTCTACCGTTTCAGCTACTTTTTAGAAAATGTTTAGCTAATTTCAACTGTTTTCAGATAAATTCAAGTTTTTCTTGGTAACTGCTGCTTTCAGCCTAATTAACTTTTTATGCCAATTTCAGCTTGTTATAATCCTCTCAGCATTTTTCTGCTATTTCAGCTACTCTTTAGCGGTTTTATGCAAATGCTAACTTTTCAGCTAATTACACGTTTTTTTTTTGTTTGTTTTTTTAGCTCATTTCAGCTCTCCACTTCCTTCTTGTATGTTAAGCTTTTTTTGCCTTTTCGGCTACTTTTATCTTTTTGTGGGGGGGGGGGGGTAATTTTAGCTTTTTTTTTAAAGCCGATTTCCTAATTTTGTGCTCATTTCTGCTTATTTTAAGATATAAACCTAATTCAGCAAACGTTCTTTCTGCTTTCTTCTACTAATTTAGGCTTGCTCTTTCATTTCAGCTACATTACATTTCAGATTTTTTTATTTTAGCTATTTCAGCTGTTTTTCAGCAATAAGCATTTACACTGCATTTTCACAGGAAATGCAATTTCTCTAGCTGATCATAAATCCCTTCCTGACGATAGTTTGCAGGCTTTGTATAAATGGATGTCCCTTTCTCTGTCGTAGTGGACCTCTTGGACGATAAAACGATGCTTGAGCATGCTCAGGAAGTTCGTGTCTCTCTCGTAGCGGATCTTGCAGGCGAGGAGCACCACGGTGGCGTCAGAACTCAAGTATTCCAGAGTTTGAATTAGAGACTGGAATGTGTCCTCCAGGTAAATGATGTCTGCCCCCAGGACCAGATCAAACCCTCCTGCGGGGTAGTGTTCCAGGCCCATGCCCCAGGACAGCTCTGAGACGACCACCGACTGATCTGGGGTCAGGTTGGTCTTGACGTTGGCAGAGAGGAGGTCCAGGGCTGGTTCTCGGTCTGTGATGGTCACATGAGCACCTGGAAGAAGTTGGAACAGTCAAGTTTTTAGTCCAGATACTTAAAAGGATCTACAACTACTCTTATTTCTCTATTCTACCAAAAGATGTTGTTTGTGACACGTGAAAACTCCTAATTACGTTTTAAAAAGTATACAAGACTTTTCACCTGAGGATGTCACCATTACTTTACCGGTGCAATGCATTCTGGGGCAATGGCGTACATTGGGTTTAGTGGAGACTATAAAACACAAGGAGTCGAGGCTAAAATAAAAAGTTATACCGTGACAATAAATGGGGACCGAGATGGGATGGAGGTAGGGCGGCCGACTTGGGACCAGAAAGTCCCAGTTCGACTCCCAGCCATCCCCACATGTCACAGATGCAGGAAGAGGGCCAGCTGCATCATGAAGGACCCCACTCACCCAGCACACACACCCTTTGCTCCGCTCCCTTCAGGCAGGAGGCTGCGAAGCATTAAATGTAGAACCACTAGACTGAGGAGCAGCTTCTACCCTGAAGCTGTAAGACTCCTAAATCCCTAACCAGAAAAAAATCACTGTAATTCCACTTTAGTTGGAAATTTGTCACTTTATCCGTGCTGCTGATTATCTGTGCTGCTGATTATATGGGTTATGCGCGTAGCCAGGGGGGGTTCGGGGGGTTCGAACGAACCGCCCACTTTGCCAATGAAGTCCCACCTACAACTCCCGCGAGATATAGAACTGCGAGGTGAAGTAATTTCATTCATAAAAAACAATGTCTAACAAAGCAAAGTAAAAAGATGAGTTATTTTTGCAATTGAAGTAATGTTATTATTTGCGGGCTTAGTTTGCATTTATGTTGTTAGAGTTAAGGAGTGGTACTGTGCCTTTAAGAGGATGACGTCTTTCATTCTTCTTCGGTGTTTTTTTTTTTTTTTTTGTGTATGTTCGGGCGGGACTCGGGAGTACCGAAGTGTTCGTTCGTGTCTGGGATGAGTTCTGAATAGAAGACTGGACACACACGCTATTCCCCTCTCAGTGTGTTGCTCTTTCTCCACTCACAACCGCCTATTTGGTAACACAGATTTACCTCACACAGCAGTGTTTTAACTAGCTAGCTAATTAGCTTGTTTACACATTTGAAGTTATGTGTACCACCGCCAATGAACCAATCAGAGTAGTCCTACAGGTCCACTTTTTCTTCAAACGAACCGCCCCTCATAAAATCCTGGCTACGCCTATGGAGTTAGAGAAATTGCACATCAGTCAGACTAATGAAGTCTTCTGGATTAAAGACAAAACATTTCAACTATTTTTTTTATGTTTACATCCATCCAGAGGACCTGTTGTTAGATACGTTGATAATCATGTCCTGTCTCGACTTCCTTACTTATCAATGTTGCCAGATTGGGCGGTTTTCATTCTGATTTTGCATGTAAAAATTGCTTTGGGCGGGTGGAGATAATTTGGGCGGATTTGGAGTCAGATCGGCGGTTTTTGAGTTAACCTATTACAACACATTTCAAACAATCATTCATTGGTTCATAGCAAAGCTCCCCTGAACTTTCTCTTCACTGACTGGCTATTGTCATCTGCCAGGGCAAAATTATGCTAGTTTTAGACACCTTGTTGAGCGGGCTGGCCCGTTAAGGCGGTACGTCGGAGCGGCCGCCATGGTGGATGTGGCAGAACTACTGGTCAACTAATAAAGGAAATGCACTGAACTTTATAAAGCACCGTTCTACAAAGTGTTTTATGTTAATGCCTGTCTTTCACACACACCAATACATTTGGAAAACAAACAGACACAAAAGACAACATTTATAACTTTTAAAGTGATTATTAAAAATGTTTACTCCTAAAACGTTTAGGTTAAAGGTAAGAACTAACCCAACATACATATTATTTTGAGTGTATATATATATATATATATTAGGGCTTTAACAGACTACTCGAGTAATCTACACATCGATTCCTAGGACATCTATAGTGTTTTTAAATTTCACGTCGGGTATTCATGGTGACGTCATTACGCCGTCATTACATCACGTGTCACGTGATCCGCACCGGGCGCAGGTTACAAAATGGATTCCTCCAAGCAGACGGATGGAGCCGAGCAAGCCCAGTCTTAGCAAACAGGTAGAAACGCATCAATAGTATGGAAACATTTCACTAAAGATGAATCTTCTGGTTCAACTACCGTAAGGAAACAGAAAATGAATCAACTTCCTGACTGTTTGGAGCTCGTTGCAAACCGGTGTTACACAATATTCTGTGACTACTGTATATTGTTACCGTAGGGGCCGGTGTTGCATGTACTGTTGCAGGTCACAGAATATGGTGCAACACCAGGTCCAATCGACCGAACCACAACCAGCTTCCTCTGATCTTGTTTCACAAACAAAAAGCAAAAAATATTAATCTCTAAACCTATAAAAAAACCTATAAACATATTAATCTCTAAAACTAAACCTAATGCGCAGCACAGCTGGCGGTGGTGCCGAGTGGTCGACCTCCCTACTGTTTTTAAGTTTCGTTTTTGACGTGCGCACGTTTCTTTCAGTTTTACAGCTTAATAATAATAACTAATAGTTTTGTTTTTCCTGTGACTTATTTGCAGTATGATAAATGATAGGATCATAATATATGCTCCCAATGTTTTGTTGGTCTTTTTTTTTTCTTCTTCTTATAATTACCTTTTTTGCAGTTTTATTTATTTTTGCATCTTTAGATCCTATGATGTCATCAAGTTCACGAGTTTTATTATGTTAATGTCGAGTTTAAAAATTATGTAGTCATTCAACCCCTAATATA